CAGACACAATGTTGGACAGTATGCGGGCCCACATCACGGATTCGGTGAAAGCAGCCATCAAGAAAACAAACTAAATTCCTGCTGTTATTCTTGGAGGTACAACAAAGTTTTTGCAACCCCTGGACATCAGTGTGAATCGTGCATTTAAAGCAGCACTCAGGGCTGAATGGGAGGCTTGGATGACTGACGGGGATAAATCCTTCACAAAAACTGGCCGAATGCGAAGAGCGTCATTTCCCGATGTCTGCCAGTGGATCCTAACAGTGTGGAGCAGAATGAATGAGTCCACCATCACCAGTGGGTTCTGAAAGGCTTGGAGTGCTACGTGAAGAGGGCACCACAGCTTCAGAGCCAGCATTACCCCGGGAGGACAGCGACACAGAAAGCAGCATTGAACAGATACTGCTGTGTGACGCAGCTTTTCTCAGCTTGTTTAACTCCGACACTGAAGAGGAGGACTTCGATGGTTTCAGTGCACCGGAGGACGATGAATGAGAAGTTTTGTTGGACCAGAAACTGTTAAAGAAAACTACCAAAATAAGGTCAGTTAAATGGACCATATTCCTCCGAACTTTAATTCCTAAAGGTTTGCTTTTTTTGTTTGATGTTGAATTCWCTTTTTTGACGACAATTTTGGGTGTACTGGTTTGTTGTTTTTTTATGTTGGGGGTGCGGCTTTTAGTCTGGTGTGGCTTATATGTTAATGTTCGCAGTTTTTTTTTTTTAAAAATGGCGGATGCGGCTTATAGTACGAAAAATACGGTAGTTATACATTTAACCACATCATTTCTGTTAAAACAAATCATTGTTTTCAGCCCTCACCGTAGATGCATCTTGTGTCTTGCGATGAGTGAAAAGTCTCTCGAGCTCATTGCTGTCGACCGCTTTCTTCCCCGCGGCGCTGCCATTGACCTCCATCTCTCTCCTGGCAGCCCCGTTGAGCCCGGAGGCCCCCTGAGAAGAGGAGGAAGACTCCAGCGCCGTGCTGTGCGCTGCCTGGGGGGTGGCCTGAACCGTCTTACACATCATTAACCTGTGGATTACGCAAACACACACATAAAACACCGACAAAAACACAAGCGTTAACCCAAACGTTTTAGATATCACAGGCAGCTGGTTTCATTTGTCAGTCAGGATGTGTTCCTCTGACCTGCCGCGGTAGCTGAAGACGAGGAAGAGCACACAGAAAATGATGCAGGTCACTCCTATGTGAATTCCAATTATGATGCCTGTAGTGGATGTTTTGCTCTGCTCATCTTTTACGCAGTCACACGGGCCGTCCAGCACTGAGGAGGAAACATGGCAAACGTCGGTCACAGGGTCAGCAGGGTTTGCGTTAGAAATGCTGACACGATGGTTTACGCACCGGACTTCTCCAACGCCTCCCGAAGTGACACAAATCTAGTGGTGGCGTTTCCATCCCCGTGTTGATTGTAGGCAAGCAGTTTTATCTCATAGACCAGCGAAGAGTCTGAAGAGAAGGAAAAACAGAAAGAGAAGCGACTTCACGGAGTGATCTGAGGGGGAAATCAGCTCGACCTCGTTTTCACGGACACGCATTTGTTTCTACTTTTAGCTGTGTAGAGGGAAAAAAAGGATTTTGGCAGCTTTCAAAACACATGAATCTAATTCTGTTTCCCTTTCATTTAGTAGAGCGGTTTTGCCTTTCCAAAACTGGAATTTATAATGATTCTTTTTTCCGGAGTGTTTGTTGTTCTCCATGAATTTTTATCTCAGATTTGAGGGATTCTGACATGTTTCATTACAGACCAAAAATCAAACTTGTGTGTTTTTTGTTTGTTTGTTTTATCACAAAAAACACATTTTCTATAATACAAAGCTAAAACTTTGCTGTGGTAAATATAACCAGAACATTTATTGATGTTTTAATCAAGTTTTCAAACTGTTACATAAAATCAATGTTTCTCTAATTTTCTGCTTTATGTAGCTTAAATTTAGTTCACACTTGCTGTCAAATAATAAAACGAGTTGAATTTGTTAATGAAAAATTCAATGATTTCCTGAAAAAGAAGCTTCAACTATCACTATTGTTCTTTTTTTTTCAATCTTGAGATACAAAAATGTGATTTTCTGTTTCTAACTTCCTGCTCCTGAGACATCTTGCACTCGGCATAATTCTGTATGAACCAGAGGCGAGGCAAGGTCAAACAATAAATGCAGCATCAACAGCCTGTAATGGGTTGAAATACAGGTTTTATATTCATGTTGCACAGCTTCTCTAACCTTAGTGCATTGACATGTTGTAACTATCCTACATATATGTGTCAAAAAAAGATGCATCAGATTGGTTTGAGAATGAAAAATCACTCAAATTTCAATCCTAGATGAGCAAATAAAAGAAACTTTAATAATCAATGAGTTTAGCAAATAATCAGATTTTTTACTAATTTGAACAGCAACAAAAAACAGCTGTTATTTATCATGAAATATGTAACTTGAACTTTAAAGCTCCCGTCTGAGGGTCTCACCCAGCTGAGTGATGTTCCACTGGGTGACGTTCTGAGCGAAGGTGAAGGGATCGGAGAACAGCGGCGCCTGGGCTCGTCTGTAGTAAAGTTTGAAGCCTTGGTGTTGGCCCATCTTAGACGAGGCTTCCCACATTACTTGAACGACGGTGCTGTTCAACACCTTGGTGAAGAGGGAGGGAGGAGCCGGCACTGCAAGACAACACGGAAGGAAATACGGCAACATGAAGTAGATAAAAGCCTTGCACTTCAATGGGAATATGTGACTCCGTAATCGTCATAATCTTTAAACTGACAAATGTTTTGTGTGACAGCTAACAGTGGTCCTGACTCACCCTCCCCACGAGTGCTTTCAGCGATGCTGTCCGATGGTTTGCTGGCTCCGTGGGAAGTGTAAGCTTTGACGTAGAAGGTATAACTGGTGGAGGGCTCCAAGTCACGGATGACCTGCTGCAGTGTGACCTTACTGACGGCCTCCTCGTACTCCATTTCCAATGGGTCTAAAGGATGAAACCATGAAAGAAAAGAAAGAAAATAAAAACAGGCAAGGTTTAAAAAGAAGCAGAAACAGGAAGAATGAGAGGAATGGATGGTGAGGCACATGATGGAATACAATGAGGAGAGAAAAAGGTGATCAATACAGTCTGTTTCTGTCATTTATTTGTGGTTATTGCCCATTTTACTGGTTTTATCAAGCTTTTCTCCTAGTTTATAGCTAATCTAGTTTGGCCCTAGGAGGGGAACAGTGGTGGGGTAAATTACAGAGGTGGAGCGAGCTGATAGATGGGCTAAATGAGGAGTTATACTGGACACGTTAAAGCATTTTATTGCCTTTATTTCAGAGACACACAGCCATAACTCCAYTCTACCTCCAGCACTCAATTCATTGGGCTGAACCATCTTGAGGTAATTACAGTAGACCCTATTGGTTGGCCCCCCAGGGGCCCTTAATTATCCATCCTACTGAGGTACCGATGTGAACATCAGCTGGGACAGCGAGACTCAAACCAAACCACACATTCACCTGACAAACAGCGTATGTATAACAAGAAATAAATTAGTGTTTGTTTTATCATCCTGTTATCTGTTGAGTAAGATGTGAATATTTGTATTTAACTCCACACTTAGGCTCTGTTCAGAATTAACTGACATGTTTAAAGTGTTCTCGAAGAGTAAAAAAGCTCTAAACGCATCAATTTTACACTTAAAGTACATTTTCACACAAGTTTCCAATAAAAGCATTTATTACAGATCTTACTTTCCCACTCTGCAAATAAACAAATTAATTTACAACTCAAGAAAACAGTATCTGAGAACACAGTTTCTACCAAAACAGTTACAACTGACCAGCTAAGTCATTTTATCAATTGATATTGTCACATAGCAATATACTGTTTTTTGTGGATTGATGTATTTATCTGCTGCTGCTACTACACCTGAATTTCCCCACGCGGGACAAAAAAAGCTGTTTCTATTCTATTCTATTCTATTCTATTCTATTCTATTCTATTCTATTCTATTCTATTCTATTCTATCAATAAGACGTGAAGAACATTTCAGTATTTCTCATACTGATGTGACAGGACAGAAAAATATAAATAAATGAAACAAAACAAATCTTTGATTTCTAAATTTGGAAACCATCCAAAGACTTTTAACCTTTCCACAGTTTTTATTCAGGATCTGTTTGTTGCAAAATATTGGTTAAAAAGAAACATAAAACGTAATCTTTGTTTGACGATWATACTTTTGTCTTTTGGAGCTACATAACTTTCCCTCTTACGCTTCATACCAAAGCTTATGTTTCATTAAAATACCAGTTTTTAGGACGAGCTGTAAGAAAGACACAAGTAGAAGGAAAAACAGGCAGAACTCTTGGACCTACAGCATGAGATCACCCTGTGTGTGTAGTTTTGGTTCAGTGGGGTTCTTCAAATTATGCATTTGTTTTACAGAAAACATTTTGTCTGCAAGCCAGAACGTCTAGAAAAGATTTTCTTTGTAAAAACCTGCAAAATAATCTCCAGAATATTCACCCTACAGAAAAAATGTGACTGCGCGCGTCCAAGTAACAAGTTCTCACTCCGTACTCGCCACATATAGACTCCTGGTTGGATACTCCCCTCACGTAGTTGTTGACGCACCAAATAGGGTCTTTGGGTTGAGGTCCATGGTTAAGTTTAAGGATAAGAGTTTTCCACTGTCGGTACGGTCAGTGTCTGAATGGGTCAGTTCAGGTGCTTTTCCATTGACGTTCCAGTAAGGTTCCAGTGGGTGTGGTTTGGGCGGTTGGTGGAGGTGGTTTTGGGGTTTTTCAAAAAAGAGTTAATGCGCAAACTGAGAGATGGAAACACATTTGCCGAATAAGTTCTGAAATTTTAAAAATTTGCTAAATATTCAAATTAAAGTTGAATGGAAACACGACTAATGTCGCTGCTACAATTTAAAAAATGTCGCCTCGAGTTGTTGTAAAGGCAGCTCAGACATAACCAGTGACTCCACCCCCTAGCCAATCAGTGATGAACAGTATTCTGATGTTGCATTTTGGTGTCGACTGGAACCACTTGGAACTACAACAAAGTAGGTACTAAAAAAGGGCTGGTTCCAAGAATCTGGCCTAATGGAAATGGCTTGGACCTGTACCGAACCGTACTGACACTAAGTGGCACTAGTGGAAAAGGGGCAGGAAAAAGCTAGGCTTATGTAGTAAGGTCAGGGATTGGATGTTTAGGTCTAAAAGAAGTTAAGATGGCGGCACGGTGCCTCAGTTGGTAGAGCTGCCTCCTCTCAGCAAACAGATCGCTGGTTCAAATCTCGGCCCGGGGACCTCTCTGGGTAGAGTTTGCATGTTCTTTCTGTGCATGCGTGGGTTCTCTCCGGGCACTCTGGCTTCCTCCCACACACCAAAAACATGACTGTTGGGTTAACTGATAACTCTAAATTGTCCCTAGGTGTGAGTGAGAGAGTGAATGGTTGTTTGTCTCGGTCCAGGGTGTACCCCACCCCTGGCACTGTGACTGATGGATATGGGCACCAGTGACGCCCGTGTCCCTGAAAGGAATAAGTGGATATAGAAGACGGATGGAAGAAGTTAAGTTTAGGGTTTGGGGTCATGGTTAGGCTTAGGATTACAGTCAGTTGTCGCACATTTTCTACACTTATCAAAAATATGACAACAGGCTCCTCCCATTTGTTCTAATCTCGTCAATAACTGATGCAAGGGGGCATCTAATATGTCAAAACACCTGACCAAGCGTCAATATGTGATGAGTTGGGAGTGAGAATGAACACTCTAGGGTGGCGTGTGATCTGAGCAACAAGATGCGTTTGCTGAACTTGTTGAAAACTCAAAGTTGTACATTTTGATCAAAAGATAATTTATCACCTGAAGTCCTGCGGATATGGAGAACATAGCCGATGATGTCCTGAGTGTTCTGTTCGGGCTCCCTCCAGGACACTTGGATGGTGGTGGGTGAGAGGGCCTCAGCCTGCACGTGGGTGGGGACACCGGGCAGCCCGTCGGACCAGAGCACGGTGAGGCGGGCGCTGGCCTGTGTGGAGCCGGCGCTGTTCTCAGCGATGCACTGGTAGATGGCCTCGTCCTCCTGGCTGATGCTGTGTATCGTCAGAGTGCTGTTTGAGGGAGGTGGGAGGAAAAAAAAGAAGGACATTTAGAAGTTTAGTTTCTGGAACATACAAACAGATTGTATTTCATCTACTTCTGCTACATGTTGCACATAGTGTGAAAACAGTGTCCTCTGAGATTCTCAGCTTTGATTTGCAAGATCTGTCTAAATGTGTGTTGATGAAGCTTTTAACGTCAGCGGAGTGAAGATCTGAGTAAGTGAATCCTCCATGCCTGATATCCTTCATGATTTTTTAAGGTTATATAAATCACCGTGWTGTGGAACATGAGGACAAATTTTCAAAGGAGTCCGAACCAGGACCAGTGAGGTGTGAACCATTTAAATCCATCACGCTGATGCACCAGCACCAGTGGCAGAAGTGTCACCTAACCTTGTGGAATCACTCACAGCTGGTACATCCGCCATCAAGAGTTATGGCAGTTCATGTTGTAAAGGTGACGCTCAGAAAAAAATGAGTGACCTCTTGTTGGAAAAAAAATAGCAGATATGAATTGGTAATGTTGTATATTGCACCATATTGTTACAAAATTTCTCTTAAATTTCTCAAACTAATGAAAATCCTTTCAGGAATCGTGAGTTAGGGTTTTTAAAAATGTAAATAAGTTGCTCAAGTTTGTTCCTGCTAAGACCCCAAGGACAGAAACTCAAATACTGTGGAGAGAAGCATCTCTGTGGGTCATTTTTATTTACTTTTTGTAATTTTGCAGGCAATGTAGATCCGACAGTGTCTTCAACCCTTCAGAATTTCAGGTGGTTAATAAGTGACSTCTAAGTCTGAGGTCATGGGTCCCAACTGAAGAAAAGTCGGATTTCTAATATCTTAGTGTCTCATTCATGAAAAATGGGAGGATGGAGAAAGAGATCAAGCATAAAATTGAGGCTTCATCTGCTGTTTCGAGGGTGTTTCTCTGGTTTGTTGTGATGAAAAAGGAAAGGCAAAGCTCTTTTATTACCTTCTAAACTCCAACCCTCTTCTATGGTCATGATATGGATCAAAACTGCTAGATGTTTGATACAAGTGACTGAAATGGGATTCCTGAGCAGAGTTACCAAACTCCATCTTAGATAGATGTAAACGCTTGATGTTAGAGCAGGGCTATTCAACTAAACTGCTCCGGGGGCCACAGTTACTGCAGGCCAACAGATGAGGGGCCGAACATCCAGCAATTAAAGTAATTTTGTAAATAAACCAAGTATTACAAAGATCTGTTACATTTGAAACAGTTCATTTTGCTGGATTTAATCATGAATACAACATACAGAACCCTATGTAATAAAAGTGACAACAAAACAATATTAAAAAACATTATGCCTCCTATTTAACACAAACATTATTTTGACATCTCTGACTCGCCAACTTTTTAAACCAATTTTATTATCACTTTTATAGTTTTATCTTCAATTGCTTGTAGTTTTAACTGTCTTGAGTGTGCATTGAAATGTTTTTACTAGCTTCTAGCCAAGAGTATTTCTGAATATACCACACATGTCTATGTCTATAAGAACTTTTGTTTTGTTTCAAATTTTATTCATGTCTTAAAAAACAAAATTAATTCTATGTACAATGAAAAATGCAAATAAAAATAAATGAAGCGTGGCAGAGAGAAGAAAAATATCTTATAACTGCCCCTTTTTTCTCAAGTCTAAATTCAAACAATAATCTTCAGTCAACAAAACAAAACCATCAAATCTTTCTAGAACAACAAATTATATGTATACAGATTATACCATTACATTTTTTTTTAACAATCAAGCTTTTATCATTCTCTTAAACATGTACAGTGACTTGGCACTTTTAACATCGTCTTCCAGATTATTCTACAATCTCACTCCTTGGATTGAGGTGCACCGTTCTTTCAAACAGGTTCTAAATTTAGGTTTCAGGAACATCTCTGTATCCTTAAGATTATAACAGCTCTCTCTCTTTGCAAAGTTTATCTGAATGTTCAAAGGTAATATATTTTTTGTTGAGCCTTATACATAACAAAATATAATCAACCAAATCATAGAATTTGAATAATTTCAGTTTACAAAATTATATATTACCAGTAGATGGATAATGGTGGTTTTTTTCAAGTGACAACTCTTATAGCTCTTTTCTGCAAAACAAAAACAGGATTTGTAATAGTCTTACATGCTTTCTCCCATACCTCAACACAATAGATCAAGTGTGGAACAATTAATGCATTATAGACAGGGTTGCACAAAAAATTTTGGTCTGGTTCTCAGGGGAGAACCTAGGGTTGTTGCTTGGTGCTCACTCGTATTTTCCTTCACTCATTTAACACATTTATCTAGAGGGGCGTCAGGACATTTAACGTCCCCCTGTTCTGTTTTATGACTCCTATCAGCTGCAACYTCTCAGGACATCATGCCAAATCAGTCCAACAAGTTTTTATTTTATTCTTTTCCTCTGCATATATTTTGTAAACTAGCTAAGTGGCCAAGGGGCTGGGTGTATGTCATATAAARATCACAAACTGAACATTTCATGGTTAAATGTCTTTTAGATTAACATGTTCCTCAGACGGACAACTCCTGTTTGGTCTTCTGGATCTCTGGCCTTGGTCAAACCAGCTTTCCACACTCCAGACCAAGCAGCATACCTGTCTTTTGCACAGAGCAAAATAACTTAATGTTTTATTTGTTAGACTGATTTCTTTTTTAAAAGACTATTTTATTCAAAAATATCATATTATTTAGATGGTTTCAGCTCATGTAATTATTTATTCTTCATATTTGATCGTTTAATAAATTACATTTATCCCAGAAAAGCTGTGTCACAGTATGGCCTAAATATAAATAAGTTTAGCAAATCAAGAACCTTGTTTTTTATATATAAAATTGTGAATGAAATTTGTGGATCTTTATGATAAATTAAAATAAGATTTAAAACTCTTTCACCTAGAGAACATGGCAAGTTGTTTTTATTTTTTTAATATATATAATGTTTTTGAGTGGGGTGTTAAACAGAGAATCATCTTTCCTTTAATATGGGGAAAACAAATGTTCTGTTAGTTAATGTGGTTTAATTAGAAGAACTCAGTGAATCTCACAGACAGCCTGCACACGCAGCGACGCGCTCTTACAGCAGTCTCTCATCAGGAGGAAAGTTTAGTCACTCACACAGAGTTGGACAGATCTGTTCAATAACAACATTCTGAACATATATTTAATATAAAGTTAGGTTTTACAGACCAAAGTCTCTGGTAGTTCAGGAGCAAAGTGCAGGAGGAGAGGAGGAGGAGATGTATGGACTGATCGCTGCAGCAGCTTGAGTCGAGCCGGCCCGCTGCTTCAACCAAACCTGCTCTCACTGAAAGTCCCGCCCTGCTCTGCTCTGATTGGACAAAACGGCTCTGGACTTCGTCTGATTTGTTGAAGGCAGTGTACGTTTAATGTTTAAATCAGTGTCCCGCTCTGGCACACCGAACGACGATCCATTCACACCAGTGAGGCTGGATTCTTTTTTTTTCTTTTAAGAATTCAGGTCGCATTTGCAACCACACTGGTCGCACTCTAGAGCCCTGCTAACTGTTGTTTTGACAGACAATCAGGTACAATCTTAGGTACGCAAGTGAGCTTTATGACGTCCCATCTGATACGCTTTTTCCTTTTTTGATCACGCAAGCGCACCTGTGCACCGGTTATGTGCACCTCTGATTATAGAACATATAGGCCAATAATCCCTCACTTTGTAAAATAATGCAATAGATTTAGTCATTTTTATTCTTAATTTATATGAGGTTTCCATGTCAGTTTCTCATCAATAATAACACTCAAAAACTTTACCTCACTGACTCTATTAATCTCCACACCATCAACTTTAAATGGAATATTAGCAGTTCTTTGTCTATTTGTAAATATCATATAATTAGTTTTATCCAAGTTTAACGGTATTTTGTTAAGTTTAAACCAATTTTGTATTTTCACAAAGTTAAAGTAGAAAACTGGGGGTTTGGGTTTAAGAAATGAATGAACCAATTTGCGGGCCAAACTTTGGTCCGCCAGTTGAATAGAGTGTAATGCGATGGTCGCGCGTAGGAGGAGAGCTAGCTTAGCATAAACCATGTGCTACGGTGTAGCTCCGAAAAGAGCGACAGCTTTTTGGTTCCCACATGTACTACTTTATTACAGAACTTGAAACCATACAAAGCCAGGTCTCCACGTCACAAAATCTACATTCATACATGAATATATAGATTATAGTCCATAGTCCTTTACCATACATTACCAAGGTTGAGCAACAGCTAAGTGCAGCAAGCACAGCAAGGCTTTAGCTCTGAATTCTTAACATTCACAACATCCTATGTTATAACAGAAGAGGCGCCATCGTGTGGCACTAAAAAATGTACACAGTGATATACATATTGACTAGACTTAGAGTTACACCAACACATGGAGGTGTTTCAGACTAATCTTTAAAGGTAGAATCTTACTGGGCTGCAACTATTTGATGACCAGCTTTTATGAGGGAGTCAATGTCATTTTCATTTCTTGCTAAATTTGTAGTGCTTCTCGGTTTCTTCTAGCGAGTCACAGAGGTGCACAGTTCTGTTGCTTGAGTTTTGAACATGTTGTCCTAAAGCAGTGACAGAGCTTTCATAAACATTTGCAACACCTCTTAAACCCAGCTGAATTTGTGTCGTGGGCGTCTACAACCCATCTCATGAGCTTTGGAGCTGCATTTTGACACCTGCGCAGGAGCTCTCCTCTGACAGAGAACGCTCAAAATCCAGGTCTAAAAACCTCATAGATGATGAGTAATGAATGAAAAACTGGTCCAAATGCCGATTTCAACAGCGTACTCCAACAGAATAAATCGTAAATGTGAGGACGGCTGTCTAAGTGAGTACAAAACGAGCTGATTGAAAACGGTCGGGTAGTTTTATCTAATGTCAAATGACAAATAGCATCTCTGTTCAAACACTGTGAAACATCTTTTAATGAAGCTAACTCAACAGAGCTGAAGTAGCCACGCTTTAG